TGCCGACAAAGTCATCAGCCGCTAAGCAATGGCGACGGGTTAAAACGAGCTTTCCATCGTCAGGCATCAATTTACTTGGATACTCCGTCGGAGCTGTCTAGCGCGAAGAAAGTTTATTAGCTGCCTGAAGTAGAAGCTGAAACCAGAGTCTAACGCAAGAAGACGGCATTCGTTGTCGGAGAAGCGAGAGGCGTAGGAAAAATTGTGCGAGTATCGTCGGAAGGTAGAAGAGGAAAAGGAGAAGGAGACAAGAAGGTTCGACACGTTTCTTTAGAAATTTCTCTAAGACGGGACAACCTGCCTGTTATATGTACGTGACATTAGAACAACCTGGCGCGATACGGGAGGGTGATTTATCGCAAGGATAAGTATGGCTGCCGAGCGATTGGAAGCGCTTTTTTCCTTTTTTTCTTTCGAAACGATCACCTGGAGTAGAGTTAATCAGGAACGCGTACACGCATCGGTACACGCGTCAGGAGCCAGGACGACGTAGTTAACGGGTTCCGAGAAAGGTCTTCCTGGGGTCTACCCCTTTCGTTCCCGACATCCACTGCAGTTGCAGTAGCAACGGAGGACCGTATCGAGTCTCCATCTTGCGCTACCGCGTGTCGCCGCCGTACTGTAACGGCCGATCGGCGATCGCTGTCAGATTATTATACGGCCGTCTAACGACAGTGACTACTGACACGTCGGTATGCCAGCTCATTAGCGAGCCGAATCAGTTCCAACTAATGAATAATCGAGGGACGCCATCTTGAAGCAGTTCCTTATCGTTCTTCACACTCCCTTTATATGTATCTCGTGGATAATGAAATCGTACGACCGTTTATACTCGTGACACGTGCCTTTTCGACTGTCCGCTCGGTGTACATTTCTCATTCCTGTAATAACATATATCACTGACCAGAACGGACGTTGATCACCTACCGTGACCGCAGTCATTCCGATTAGCCTATCTGCGAGGAAGTTTCATTTACAATGTACCCTGTTACCGCGATAACGCCTGCATACGAGAATACGCCGAGTTTCACAAGTCGTTTAACACGACAAAGAGCGTATGGCTAAGTGCTTTTTTTTCGGGGCCAATGCCACAAAATTACTTCCTGTTGGATAATTTTTTTGCATCACTCGATCATCCTGTGCTCGCGATAACACGTGCGATTACTGGGGTACCTAACGTGGGTGTTTGATGGCTACTATTCAGCTGTCATATTGCACGTGTATAGTGGGTCCACGTGTTCAGGGTTTTTTTTTTGAGAATTTGCAACCAATCCGATGTTTGGTACGTTACAGGTGGTCTTCCATAAAATAATGAAAAAAAGAAAAAAAACTGAAATAGAAATATAAAATATATATCGTGCAAAATCATGCATATGCATTGTGCATACATTGTAACTGACATTTTATGCAGACACGCGTACCTTGCTACGGACTTTGTTTTCGAACTGTCAAAATAAAGCACGTGGCACTCGTGACGTATCGTTATAGGTTGATAATTTAAGGGATAATTGAAATGACAATTTTAAACGAGTGTATATCACGTTAAGGTAGGATATTCATTTTGGAGTACAGTTGTCCACGTTGATGTCGCTCCGTGGAAACATCAATTTATAGCCCACATACGGCCGATATACCAGTCGCCGATAACACGAGGTTCGGAATCGCTTTGGCAAAAGTAATGATCCTGTTTACAGTTATCGCCGACGTGTTACGAAGATACCGATTGAGTTAGTGGGACCGCGCAGAAGCGCTTGGAAACGGACACTGACTACGTTCAGTACGGTGCGCCAAGTCGTGGCTACGAGACCCGGGAAGATTTGAAAAGAGATATTTATGCTCCCTGTGGTTAAGGTTACTAGAGTGAGGCGAAACGACGTGGCCAAAAATGTCTTTACGAGTACATTTATTTCAGCGCCTTTACTCCTGCGAGTGGCTTAAGAATTTCGAAAGGCTTCAAGAACTTTTTGCGATGAATAATTCTTTTGGGAATTAACTTAAGCGGTGGAGGGTGGGAGACTGAGAGAAAAAAATTAACCAATTTTCTTTCAGTCTTCACGGTAGGGGGACTCGATCTTCTTTCTCTCTCAGCGATGCCACGCGAGGATCAGGACTAATTCGTACACACTTATTTGTATGTACGTACGTGGTTAAGAAATTATCGTCCACCTTTGTCACGTGAGTGAAATAGGTTCGAAGCACAACCATTAGAATTTACGAGGGATGGTTACCACTTAACTATGTGGGAATATTAAGATACTCTTATGGTATGAGGGGCTGCGGAGCCCATTTCCATAATTATGGGGAAGCCGGCTATATTTGTTACTTGGAATTCATTATCATTTTTTACGATCCATAAAATAGATTATAAAGCCTGTCAGTAATGACGCTGGTAAAACGCTACGCTCATTGGCGCATTGTATATGTATATCCTGTCGTGAATGTTTTTTCTTTTTTTTTTTTTTTCTTACATTTTTATAGTCTTCCCAGGCCAATGAAATACTACGTGACGAAATGTTAATGATGACTCGCAACGATATAAGCTAACTACCCGGCGACGTATAACTTTATTGAAATTGCGTGTACAGAATTTTCCAAAAAATTTTACACGATAAGGAAAATCATGAAATTTCCAATTATTCATTGAACGTCCAATGGGGGTAACTTTTTCGAATTGATTGTCGTGTGAATAATAACAACAAATAATATCGAATATGCAGATCAAATAGAGAGGTGGATAACCGTATCGCAAAATTGCGTCTATTTATACAGTTCGGAAGATGAAACAGCGCGGCTTTACGGCTGGAAATGTCGGCATAATTTATAACAGTACATTTCACAATAAGAGCAAACTGAAATTACCACCCAGTGGCAGAATAAAGGATGTTCAGTCATAACATCTGATGAAGCGAAACATTAACGAGGCGATACATCAGCGCCGACGCTTAGGGGGATGTGGGCGGTACCTTGGAAATCACCCAGAAGAACGAGCGCGAGATGAAATGTGAAAGAAGCGATTCGCTGAGTGAGACCTCCGTCCGCAGCATCCGAGGTGATAAGTCACAGTTTGTGGTATACCGGGAGTGACTGAAAAATCATTTGGTCGAGAAAGGGTCCAGGGATGCTGTGTATAGAGTAAGTCGAAAAAAGGATGTCAATAAAAATTTGTAAACAAAATTAACTGAAACAATAAGCACGTTAGTTGTTTTCTCGGTATTAGATAAATTTTGAAAAAGAGGTTAAAATGTAAATATACACATATATGAGATGCATAATACGCTATGGTTACATGGGTGGGGCATGATAAGTATACAGATGGGTGTATCTATATATGGTATGGATATAATGCCGTAATATCCAGGCAGTATATATACCTCGTACTGATTCTCTATTGAAGATGGCGGCTCGATGAATATCACGAGTAGAATGTTGAAACGATATGTCGTAGAGCGAAGCACTCTGGCTTCCTGCAGAACTCGCTCGAAGAATGGCATGGGCCTCGATCTCTGTGACGGCGTCGCCGTTTAGATAATAACGCGCATTTTATCTCCCTCGTAAAACCTAATTTATAGCCGCATCCGAGTCTATGGGCGTGCTATGGCCGTGGGGAATATGGGAAGGGTATAATACTACAGTAGGAGGGAGCCTGCATCAGCAAAGGTCGTCAAGTGGATATGGCAGTAATATTATCAGTGTTGAACTCATTCCCTTGGATATTTGGGGGGCGAAAAATACGAGACCCTTAAATTCAATCGTCCTGTATCTGCGGTTTGCCAAATGTCAATAATATAAAGGATTTGACATGGAGAAATAAAAAGGAGAAGAAAAAGAAGAAACGAGCAAACGACAACGATCTATGATAAAAATGTCATCGGTACGACTTTTAGAATTTTGTTCAAAATAAAGAAAAAAAAACAATTGCGTAACTGTCCAAAATAAGGCGAGAGGCGAAAGGATGCTCGCAGTCACCAGACTGCCGGTGGCCAACCCAATTTTCCAAAGGTCAGTCGTATAAAGACGCAAAATGGATAAGATGAACGGGATCAGAGAGCGCAGCATCCATGTGCGACCTTACGGACACGTCTTCTTGGAAAGGTCCAATTACGCGGCGGCCAAGCGAGAAGAAACGAATTTCATCTCCACACGTAGCGACCACTCTTCAGCCAACCGTAGCAGATACCTAGAGGACACAGGGGTTTCCTCTGTGCACCTACCGTCAAGGAACGAGTGCGAGAGAGAGAGAGAGAGAACAGAAGTAAAGAGGGGTTGGGTATAAGGTAACATACATCACGTTCCCAGTTTATGGTCCGATACGCTCCTAGGAATTGGCACCCGAGCTGAGCTTTCCCGCAAACGCAAGAAACGCGGAGGACGCGGAAGATACGAGAGGCGTTATGGCCTTTTCCTGGCTCGTAACCTGCGGTCATAAAGCTACTACACGGTAAAATATTACCCTCCATCATCCAGAGCCATTCCAGGTTCCACGTCACCCATGGCTGGAAAGTCCACCCACGCGTAATGTACGTCCTTCCCTTGACTCCATTACAACTATTTATTAATGGACGAGGGGTTTGTCGAAGAAAAAAGAAAAATGAAAAAGAAATAAATAAAAAAAATTACATACGTCCAATGATCCAAGCATATATCCTTTACGGTGGTGAGTTCTGACACGCGACTACTCACGAAGGATCCCGGTCTTTGGCTTCAGCCTGATACACAGGGTACATCGCACCTTGCAGGCCTCGTGCCTTTGGTACACATACTCTGTCTCTGTCTCTCTTGATCTCTCACCTAATACCACAAGACCCTCTCTCTCAGTCTCCCTTAGCCTTTCTCAGCCCAGAACTCTCCCTCTCTCTCTCTCTCTCTCTCTCTCCCTCTCTCTCTCTCTCTCACTCTCCTTCCTTGCCAATGAGATCATCGCGTGTACGTCGTGTCGGCTTGTCGGCATGCCAGGCGATAATTAATCACCGTCCACACTGCAGTCTATCGACGGACCTTACGAGAACGACTCGCGCGTAATACGGACAGCCTTCGCTTCCTCGTGGAGATCGAAATAGCCCATGTAGATGTACAGTCAAATGGTTAGTTTGATACTCCAGCGCAATATCTTCCCGCTGTGTGGTACGGGCACTGAGAGGTGTATTATGTACCGGGTGTACCGAAGTATTCAGGTACGGATATAATACAGTATTATTATCCCGTGATTCATTGGACGTATTCATAAATTTCCTGGGAATATAATGCCGGCGCGGGCGACATATCGATTAACGTCGTTCCACCTCGGGATTTACAGCCTCCGAGTAAATTATTTGAAGTCTTCATTTGCAGCAACAGGATCGACGGACGTACGGAGCGACGTATAGGGACGTTACTGTATATTCGTATATAGGCGAACGGAGAGAATGAAAGAGCCGGTTCCGCGTGAGCTCTCGTCCGCCGGTGTGCCTTGGCTGCCGGCTGCCACCCATCGGTGGTACCAGTGGTACAGGCGAGAGAGAACGACAAACAAGAACGAGAAGGCGAACCCTACGTGTTCCGCGTCCGTGGATGGCACGCCATTGCAACTTGGCGAACGTGTGTGTTCCGTGTTCCGAATGCACGGAGCAAGCGCTGCTTGTCCCCGGCCACCTGAGTTATGATCGTTCCCTGCCCACCCTGACTGCCTGGCTCTGCCTGCCCTCTTCTTCTTCACCCTTCTACTTTCACATCGGCGGCCATCTTGACGAAGAACCGGTTGTTCGACTGTATTCTCCTCTGTAACCGCGGTACTTGCCGGTACCCCTTATACCGCGTGTGCGCGATCATTGAGACCACGAGTTTCGTACTTATGCCATATGGCTCCAAGAATTTTTCTATTTTTTCCTTATATTTTATAATTATATATACGCTTGTTGGTTTCTCGAGATCTTTCGAGAACATGTTAAGAAGTTGAAATTTTTTCAAGGACCCCTGGCGATAGGATCTAAATGATTTCTTACAAATTTATCATTCCTCGTATACCCTGTGGAACGTTAAGGGAGATTTGTCGCGGTTTTTTTTAAGGGAATGAAACATATATATATATATACATGGTTCGCATGAGCGGTACGTTTCACGCTTGAGAATTATCGGATCGGACGGTATGTGCATTTAAGATGTACAGGTATAATGGCTCGTGGAAGAGAAGCAAGAGGCACTGACAGAGAGAGAGAGAGAAGGAGAGAGAGAGAGAGAGTAAAGAAGAGGAAAGTCCTGCTAATCTTCGAAGCCTGTTCGGACCGCGAGTAAGATTTATATTTCATTAGTACATCGTTTGCATTGAATAGACACGTTACGTCACGTGGCTCATTAATCGTTTGTTTTCGTTCCTCGACTAGGCGCTTTGACGTGACGCCTTGACAAGCAACACGTGAGATATTACAGACGCGCGTGTGTTGGCTCCGGTATGCGAAAAGGTGTAAGAGGAGACCGCAGTCCACGGCAGCGAGGCGTGGCCGGCGCAATTATCTCGATAGAGTTACAAGACTCGTTTTATGCTCGCACAAATTTATTAGCTCCATTCGCGTCAGTTTAATTACGAGCGCAGACCGGGTGAATTTTTAATACGAAAGCGCAAATGCCTTGGCTACCACGTTTAAGCATCGCCATGTCCATTTGCCTTTTTCAGTGGCACGGACGACCGTTAATATGGATCGCAGGGAACTCGTGCCTCGGTACCTTCCACGAAGTATCAGCCGTAATTGGTATCTCGCGATATCCAAGCTCGATATATCCAGGTGCGAAAAAGCTGCGACAAGTCGTACCGTTCCCAGGGGGAAGGTGCCAGGAGAATTTTAAAATACATACGGATTACCGGATCCACTATAGTTATATATCCATGTCCTAGTTGATATATACATATATATATGTGATATATGGGTGAGGGCTCGAGGTATCAAAAAAAGTGTAGCGACTTCCTTCCGTCGGCGGAAAGACAAATCGCTTTGCGTTTGGTGAAAACGTCGTAATTATCGGTCTAGGTAATCTCGCGAAGAAGCGCCAGTGAAAACCGCGTGACGGAGTGGTTTGGCCCATTCACCCTTGCACCCTTTCGTAGCCCTTGCTCGTAGAGTGCCGGGGCCATAGATTACCGCCGTTAGAGCTGGCGGCAGTATATTATTCCCCGGCGGAGGCGAAGCGAAGGGAGCCCCGGTTCACTCGGCCGCTGATAAACTACCCTCCGCGCGCTCCGCAGGTATAATAAAATGATATCTGTGCGGCCGTATCGCGATTCTGGCTGCGAGCGGCTCCGGCACAAAGTTGCCGCCTGCGCGCTCACGGCGGCCGCGATAAATAACGCAGCGCGGCGCGGAGCGGCCCAGCACGTCGCAGCATGGGCCATGGGCATGGCCCGTGCTCCGCGTGCCCCTATGCCAGGCCATTCCGCACCGTGTGCCATTCCATGCCACCAAAGATACACGTTATACCCCCATAAAACTCAGGGGCCCTGGCTACATTATGCCTGCCGCACTCCCGAGTCGTATACAATCCCTCTACAAGACGGCAACACCTAACATTCGTATCTGCTCGTTGCTCCGCGAACGGAGCGCGCACGTTCGTACGATCCGCACCGGCCGTAAATTATAATCTTAAAGACGCGAAACACTGAAATACGGCTGAATACTTTTCAATGCGGCTCACTGCTACGGCCACCGGCCCATTGCCCTCGATACTGAATCCCCCATCCGCGCGTTTAAACGTTTGCCGAGGCAAATTTTATTTTTATAAAATTTCGAAAAAAAATTTCGACCAATTTTTTATTTTTCACATTTTTTTTCTTCTCCTGCCACGGTACGGCTCTTGCGACCTTCGAAGCTTCTACCGGGCTGAGCTACTGTCGCTCTCGGCTTTCATGGGAATCGACTGTCAATCCTTAAATGCGGGCGGAGCGGGGGGGATCCATTACCGGACAATGCTCGGTGATTAGCCCTCGCCGGCCACGCTAACGACAGCCAAACAAATCACGGCTTAGCCCGGATTACATCTCCCCACGGGGTACTTACTTACTACACCCCTGAGCCCAGCTCGAATATTATATACTGCCTGTCACTTCCCGCTGTCATGGCTTATACCGCCCTGCTGTCAGGTGAGCCCAGTACCAGTTATTCGGTGGGTTCTGATGAGCGTCATCCGTTAAGCATCCTCTTTCCCACCCATGCAACTCGTCTCACAAAAGAGAATATTACCATCCCGTGGTGAACTTTCGTATCCGAGATGTCTACCTTGTGCTGCGTGTACGTCCAAGAAAATGCAAGCAAGAGAGAGAGAGAGAGAGAGAGAGAGAGAGAGAGAGAGAGTGCTGGCGGCCGTCAAAATTATCATCCTTGTAAACGCGCACAATTCATTGTGTCCCCGAGGACAGAAACTGTCAAAAGGTAAGTTCACATCGCTCCTTGTAAACGAATAAAGCTCAAGGGATCAATTCCGCCACCGAATACCCTACAAATTGGATTCTTTTGCATTTCTCCCGAAGAAATAGCCATTTGCACCCCCGAGGCACAAATATACTTTTCGAACAAGAATAACAAGGATGTCTCGATTATCCCACTAGGAGATCCTTCCGATCGTACAACAAATCCGTACTGTCGTCCTTCGAGTTCCTTAAAAAAGAAAAATTTGAAAAATTTGTATGATCCTCAAGTGCGGCGGTAAACAAAGAAGCGTCGCGACGTCAGTGAATAACGTTATAAGCATGCTAGACGATCTAAAGGACCAACTGTATATCCTTTCAGACGTGTTTATATGGGGGGCTGCTAGTCGTAAAATACACGGAGACTGGCTTGGCACGGTGTCGCGTTACACTCTACTCCCTACTTGCTCCCGCAGAAGTTCCCCAAGCAGCCTCCGTACCGGAATGGACCCCGGCATCTTCTTGATCTCTAAATTACCCGTCTACGCGTTCTGATAAAAATGTCGGCTAAAAAATTTGATAAAAGAATTTTTCAAAAACTACAATTACCCTCGCAATTCTAAAGATCGATGTCCAACGATTATTCGACGTGATAGCCAGAGGGTGGATTTTGGATCAATCATAGGGATAGTTAATTTAAATAATAAACCTTCGGTTCTTCCCTTCGGCTCTTCATTGGCTGCAGTGGGTGGGCTGACAGGGTCATTATCTCCGTGTGGCTCCGTGGAGCGAAGGACCGAAGAAACGCGGCGCGCTAAACAAGACCGCGTATATAATATGTATTACGGTACCGGAGATAATATAGAGCCTCGAGGAAGAGGTGGTGGCCGGGTGAGTTTATTTCGAAAGACAACAATAGAATGCATCGGTAGAGTGTATTGTATGCAGGAGGGTGCGGCGAAGCCTCACAATGCCTCCTGCATTATGTATCTCATGCCAGTAGATATCTGTGTGTTGTAATCCTAAACAACCATCTATAAGCGCACTTCGTGTGGCCAGAGTCAACGCGTAACCCTGCCCCCTCCACGACCACGTCTTCTTTGACAGGCAACTCGAAACACGAACTCAAAACGCTTTTGAAGAAAGGCGAGCGCCTCTCCCCGTTGCAGAGAAGCCTCTCGGACCGCCCTTAAACAGCCTCTTTTGGCTACCAGTAAATACAGAGCGGATGCCGCTGAGTGAAAGACGCCAAATGTTCTTTCCAGCGTATCCCTGAACCACGGATTCCGCACAAGATCCCACGCTCCGATTGCCGAGATGCACTTGGTCGTCCTGGTCCCTTCGGAAGGATCACTTGAGAAGGATACAGTTATGAGATACGATGAGGAACTGGAAATATCGAGTTATCTCGAAGAGGATGTATGTGTGTACGTATACGTCGGACTCCTAGGGTGCATCGATCATCAAGTCTTTATAGTCTTTTCCATTGAGAATAGAAGACTGACCAAAGCGTGTAAACGGGAGTTGAGATTTTCTGGAACACCCAAACGGGTAGATAAATCTGGCCGCTTGTGAATGTCTTCCGCCAGCTGGGTTGCGTCAGTCACGCGGTGCCTTTGATCTCTGGCGTGTCTACCGCGCACTTAAGCTGCTTCGCTCAACTTCATTTTGGTTCGTTTCAAGCACGTCGGCCCCTGAAATGAAGCGACGCCGGTAAGCGCCAGGACGCGGCTTGGTTAAGAAGCTACGTCCCACTGTCACGCTTGTATATACGTGTAGTAAATAAAGGAAAGCGTTGAAGGA